GCATAGAAAGATAGAGCTTTTTTTTCTCTATCAGACTATATAGAAAGAAAGTTATTTAAGCCTACTATACGGTATTAAAGTGTCACTGCCCGTACTTTTCGTATGCCCTAAGTATATATATACAATCCACAGTAATCCAGTTTTTCACTTTCAAATCCGTTTGAGATCAAGCTAACAATGATATTGTTAGGCTTAATTTCGAAATCATAAGTTTTTGAAATGACAGCGACAAAAATTATGTCAAAAAAAAATGCTAAAAGTTTGACTTATCAATATCTCAGCATTGCAAGATCTTTGAGAGATATCTTTTTATTTTCAGACAGGATTCCAGTTTTTAAATCATCAAGTTTTTAAAAGGAAAGCCTAGACAAGGTTTCTGAAGGAAGGACTACTTTTCTTTCATCAAAAATACTTCGTTTTACATTATTCTGTAACTTTCAAACTAATGTGTTCAAAAGAAAGATTCATTATAAACTTGACACCTTTCATTGAATTCAATTTTCAATTTATACTGCTTTAGAGTACTACTCTCTTTCTCATCCTTTTATATTTATCAATCATACGCAAATCTGGTCATAATTCAATTTCGCGATAATTAATTGATTGCAAATTGGCCGCTTTTTTGGAAACACAATAAAAATGATACAATACAATTTTTTTCGTTCCAAAAAGCGGTCATTTTTCACTAATTGGCTTAATTTTCGGCTGCAATTAGGAAGCTACGATATTATCTGCTCGTTCTGACGATTCAGATCGAGAATTAGCAGTTGTGAAAAAGAAATTTCCATTTCTTCATCAAAAATTTAATATTGATTCTATTTACGGTAGTTATTCATTAGAAAGTCTTGATATTGGTGCTCGTTCATTTACATTGGTAAAAAATGGACGAACAGTTGTAATAGTAAGAAAAAAATTCTTCGCATTATCTGATATATATGGTGTTGAAATTGTTGGTGATGAAGATCAAGCATTCATTCTAGCCGTTGTTATTGATCAAGTTTTATACGGCAAAAAGAATTAAACAGCATTGATCGTTGAAAAATATAAACGAAATTAGTCACCAAAACAAAAAATTTGTGATTTTTTTAATTCATTTTTAGCATTATCTTTTGTGAATAAATATACCGACTTTTGATAAAATAGTTTTATGATAAATAATATCTCTTGTTATTTTTTTTGTACCAAATAAAAAAAAAGAGTAAATAATACAGATTTTATGGTCGAGTATTACACATGTATCGTCTCCATCATACACATCCATTCACAACCGAATTTAAATAGCTTTTAAAAGTATTATGTTCCAATGACAATATTTTTATATGACTTTATTTGAGAAAGAATAAAAATAAGCGACAAGAAAAAAAGAAACAAAATGGTCACTAATAGTTTTTACGTCACAGACCATGATTTGTCGTTAGTTAGCAACTATTGAATCAAATCAACAGTTCGCTATATTGTCATTTGCATTGCATTGATCATCAAGGATGATCATTTGATTGTGTAGTTTTTTCCGAAGAGTTCATTCAATGTATCCTATACATAAAATATTGAAGGCGTATTTAGCTAGCCACAATAGAGCATGTTTCCGATTATTAGGATACTTTGATAATGAGTTTTCTTTTTTTCTGCTGCGATTACGGCATAATTGTGAAATTTTCATATAGAACTATTTTCATAAAAATCGAAAACCGAATCAAAGTATTGACATGAGAAATCCAAGAAATTGATCTATATGTTTATGTCATAGCTGAATCTAACGGAACGATAGTATGCCAGAGGTAATCATTATGTTTATCTCTTTTTAAATAAATGCTAAACTACATCTACAAGCATCGAATATTATCGATCTTGTTCTATTATTTATGTTAGATGTGACAAATGAGCTTTTGTCGATTTTAGACGTAATTTCATCAAGTATCAAATAGTATCTGCATAAAAGGCATGAACGAGGTTAGCCGCTTTTCTATTGGTTTCAAAAAAAGTTACTGGTCTCAATTCTACACTTAATAAAAGATTTCTAACACACAACTTAATAGATAATCCTATGGCGATACCGATTGATATTCTACTTAGAGAATCATTAAATGAAAAAACATTTAATTGTTATTCTGGAAATTTTCATGAAGAAAATTTCATTGCGTTGGTTACTTCAGAAGAAAAAAAATCTTTACACTTGTTTCGCTACTATTGCATGATTTCTATTCAATGATTTTGATATCTCCAGAAAAAATCAAAACCGCGGAATGAAAATGATGAGTTTAGATTTCTTGCAGATACTTGTTTTGACTCACAAGCGGTACCTCTCACAAGACACTTGAATTGTGAAAATCTTTTAAAGATTCATCGCACATTGGTTCGAAGGAAATCAACCCGGATTTTGAAAAAAGTCTCCGTAGAAACATTTCACCTGAGTGTGCAGCAGACTCAACGAGTAAAGATGTTTAACTCTTTGCTACCATTTCATCATTTGAACTAGCATATTTTTGAGTTCCTTCATAATTTCTCGATGAGAGAATTTTCATTAAAATCATACAATTTGCATTGTTCAGGTACAAACGATGAGAACGGATCGTTTTGTTTTTTGTAATCGAATCAAACCAATTCCATCTCTGTCAAGTACAACGAGACATTTGTTGGGATCTGTACGTTTCACGAAAGTTGTTTTCATTCGAACTTTCCTTCCTTGACATCATCTATTAGCTCTATAGAAAAAGAAAAGCTTTTCTTTTGTATGGGACTCGTGTTGTAGTTGTCAAACGAAAAAAATCTGAATCCGCAGTGGATGACTGGTATTTTTCAATACCAAATATTCAAACAATATATATCTCGATTTATTATCTTACTGTTGGATTGTTCTCGATGATTGAATCATTTTGAATAAATCCTCTCGATTTGAAACCAAATCGTTTATAAATATGTTTTGCTTTTAAATTATTTGTAAATAAATAAACAGTGACATCAGTTTTTATCATTTGTTGAATATAATTATCGATATATGCAAATAAAATGACTCCAATGCCTTGTCCACGAAAATTACGATGAACATTAATTCCTCCAATCCAAATAGCTTCTTCTAATGATAATTTTTTACCCATATCTCGATCATCTCGAACAATAGTTCCAGTAGCAACTGTGTCATTTGGTTTATTGCGTAAAAAGAAAAAAAATGTATTCATTATATTGTTTTGTTCCTTGGTTGATAATTCATCATTTTTTTCTATCCAATACCAGAAATCAACGCCATTTTCGTCGTCAATTGTTTCAGACATCGATAAAATCCAATTTTTGGCAGAAATAAAACGTTGACAATTGCTTTTCAAAGATTTAAACGTTACTACATCGAAATCATTAAAAGTATACGAGTAAGACATCTGAAAATAAATGTTGAATCAAAATATCTACTGTTCACATGTATCATACGTTATTTTTGTCAACAATCAAAGATCAGTGAATAGAGATTTCGAAATAAAAACTCATTTTTCACAATCATTTGAAATATCCTCTCGAACGATATTTTTCGAGGATGTCATCACATGTACCATTGTAGAAAAGAATGCTTACAGATCGATAATTTCTTACCTAACTTCCGTCTCGGCTTTGATTCAGTCAGAGTCTGAGTTAGCGACGAGTGATCTCGCTTGAAATAGTTGCGTAGGTTCTAACTGAAAACAGATTATTTTCTGCTTGCTTACAAGCAAAACTTCTCGCAAAAATGTCAATTTACGAGGACACTTTTGTGTGTGAGTTGCAAAACGAACTCAGTCTTGCAGTATAGCAGAGATAATGTTTTACTTTGGCAAGAGTAGAGAAAAGAAAAGAATGAAAAATAATAATCACCTCGAGTTTTTACCCATGTGATGTCTCACAAACAAAGAAATACAGGAGCATGGCTGTGTACTTGTGGAGAAATGTAAGATGGCTCGACGTCCTATTGTTATCGATGGTATTTCACATACCGAAAAGTTGCTTAAAAACAGCTTTTTTGCTTAGTATTGTGCCATCCCCAATACGTCCAAGATTTGTTTAGAGCGTCAGTCAACTGAGATTATTGGATGTCGTTCGCTATCAGTGAAGTTGTTTGTGAGTTATATATAATGAGCGTAAACAGAATATCCTGCCGCACACCCATACCAAAGAAACGAATCAACAGTTCGGTCATTTACTATTAGGAATGCTAAATTAAATTGAGATTAATTTTATCGATCGTGATATTCACACGAAGCATTCTTCACTTATATTTATGCGATCGAATGTCGCTCGAGTATCACAATCGACTGGTGCATTGGTTTAATAAGCCAAAGATTGTGATTTCAAGGCTCATCTCGAGTATCCTGTACATATTTTTTTGCCATTCACAGCTTTCTGTAAACGAAAATCGAACACGTGATTGTCTAAATTGAACAACTGATTTACCATTGATTATGAAAATAAAATAAAGGGTAATTATGACAGCGAAAAAAGTTGAAAGTGAAATCTCAATAGAAAGAAGGCGGGCAAATACCTCGAACAATTGAATTCTATTGTAATGTAGTTCTCAAGATATCGTTGTAATCGGTGACCAATGTGAACAAAACAGTGAAAAGCATTTGTCTTACTCCTTGCTCTTCCTCAAGTGACTGATCTCAAAAGACTACAGCATTCACAGATCGGTCAGCTTAATTTCAAAGCAAACCAATTCAACTGAAACTTTGCTACAATCTAATCTATATTGTCACAGTCAACTGCAAACTTGATATAGAAGCATCTTGCATTTCTAACAATAAAATAAA